CTGCTGATAGCACTGTCCCCTGTCATATGTACACATATGTACTGCCTTAAATAAAACCACACTGTTGCTTGACCCTGTGGCCCTCGTACCTCTGAACCCATCTCCCAACACCTAGGGACCTTACCCCGACGGTAGTCTACACTTGCTCATCTCTCTCAATCCCTTAGGAATTGGCCATAATGGATCTCGCACCACAGCTACTCCATGGAAACAATCCTGGTGAACTCTAAACCCACGTATGTGCGCTGCTCGAGACTTTTGATGCATTGCTCTGCAAATCTCCATTTGAGGCTTCTGGCCCCCTTGCACATCAAGTAGGGTGCTGGGTTGCTTGCCATCAACGTGATCCTGGCTGACTTATGGAATGAAGAATATTTTTTGGAAGATTGGCAGACACTGTTGCTTCTGACTTCTCCTTTGCCCACAGGGTACTGATTTGGTTTGTGTCCCATGTTCCTGACGCTTTGCTAGATATAGATATTCTCCCCCTCCCTAATAAGGGGTGGCCATGTCATACAACTCTGGCCAGCACATGCAAGGAGATGTCTGCTGGGGGAAATCTGAGAGAGGAGGCCTGTTCTTCTGGCCTTGGACTCTGTTGTGTAATGAGATGGTGCTGGAGGACATAAGAGCTGTCTTTTATGGGGACAGTCAGGAGACCTCAGGATGAGAAGCCAAGGGAGCTGGGTGGCTGGGCAGAAGGATAGGGAGAGCCTGGTCTCTTGTTCACTTTGAGGTTCTGGACGAAATGCTGAACTGCCTGTCACCAAATAAGTGACATAATTAAATGTCATTTATAGTCATGGTCCTGGTACTTGCATCTAAAAAAGCAATTATTTCTGTAAATGAATGTTCACCTCTCCCAGTCACTCCAAACAGTACTGTCCAATGGAACTATAATGTAAGATGCAGGTGAAATTATATTTTCTAATAGCCACATTTAAAAAAGTGAAAACATCTACTAGGATGAATTTTAATGACCTTTTATTAAACCAAACCCATAGTATTTAGATTTCACTGTATAATTAATGTAAAATAATTATTAATTGGGTGTGGTAGCACTTGCCTGTAGTCCCACCTACTCAGAAGGCTAAGGTGGGAGGATTGCTTGAGCCTAGGAGTTCAAGGCCAGCCTGGGCAACATAATGAGACCTCATCTTTCTCTCTCTCTCTTTTTTTAAAGAATTATTTACAGGATATTTTACATTAATTTTTTATATCAAGTTTTCAAAATCTGTCTTTTAACACTTGCACTAGCCTCTTTTCAAGTGCTCCATAGCCTCATGGGCTAGTGGCCTGCATATTGGCTGTCATAGCTCTAGAATCAGACGCCTGGACAGGAGTGGTGATTAGCAAGACCTAACTTACCTGATTGTGGTCCTCCTGCCAGGACAGGAAGGGAGAGACTGACTCCCTTTGTATTCCCTACCTGGGAAGCCCCCCACACATGAGAGTCAGAAGCTGGGCAGCCAGAGAAAGTTGGTGTGCCTTGTAACACTATGTACCCCCCTTTGTTGTACCCACTGTTGCTTGTCCTTCAAAAATGGATGTTCCCAGGGTTCCATTATTGGCTTTTGATCTTTCTTTTTGGTTCTCTCTTTGGGTGTTACCCATCATCTCTATGCTGATGACTTCCATGTCTGTATTTGCAGCCATGTTGTTTTCTAGTTTTATAGCCACATATTCATTTCTTGGCTAGACATAGCCCCTTACCTGTCCTCCAGACTTCCATTGCCCAGTCTGAACTTACCTTCCCTCTTCTTCCTTGGACCCCTAATCTTATGTTTAGGGACCACTGTATACCCATTACCCAAACCAGAAACAGGAGTATCTTACTGTCTTCCTACTTCTTCACTCCTTAACCTCCTGTCACCAGGTCCAGTGCATTTTACTCCTGACTCTTCCCTCAGATTTGACTCTTCTTTTCTGAGCCATATTCATTACCAGACATCTTTTATAGAACTGCTGTAGCAATCTTGTAGCCCATCTCCTGCCTTCTGGCTCATGGTCCCCCTTTGCTTCTTGCCTTTCTCCCCGGCCCCACCCTCCAGCCGTCCTGTGCACTGCAGCCAGAGTGATCTCCCTTAGCACACGTTGTCATTCCACTGCTTCAGCTTTTTCAAGTGTTCCCACTGACTATGGAATGAAGTTCAAGCCCCTTAGCGTGTTATACAGGGCCTGGTCTGTCCAGTCTTACCTGTCATTACTACTGACCTTGCCTTTGGTACTTTGGTAATACGGAATGGTGTGGGTGGCTGCTGGCTGTGGAATGCTGTGTTGCTGGGGGCTGCTGCTGATTCCCCTGAATGCCTTGCTTTTGTATTAATGTGTTTTCTTGTATTGTCCCCTCTTCCCACCCTACCCTTTCCACCTTTCTGGCCAGCTCATTGTGGCTTATCCAGAACGTTCTAGTAATCTTTGGCAGTTTCTCTGAATCTGGAGACTGGACTAAATACCTCTCCTCTGCATTTCCCATAATTTTTCCCATGCCTCCCCTTTTTTGGCCATATATTACTGAAATGATTTATATGTATTTGTGGGTTCTTTGAGGCCAGGGCATCATCTTAGTCGTCTTTATCATGGAATGTCTTGTGTAGTATCTGGCTCCATATGTATTTCTCGAACTGAATTAGATAAGTTTGAAGAGAGACTGAGTGGAAAAATATGTCGACCCAAGTTACAGACAACCTTATGCATAAGAAGCATACAAATGTTCTGTGAATGAAGAACTGGAAATCAGATTATATTGCTTTGTAAATCTTGTCAGTTTTGGTGGGAAAATAACTTCAGGTAATAAATCCTTTGTTCCCAAAATCATACCCTTTGTTGTAGTGTATCAGCATGAAGCATTGTTATTTTCTAGCTTTAGAGGTGATATGCCCATGTTAGCTGATCTCATGACATCTAAAATCACATCACATGGTGTCTTTGATCCACTTGTCATGGGGTGCTGGGGCTTACACCTATTCTGTGCCCAGTCGGCTCTTGCCAAGACTAATTCCCTTAAAGTAGGGGTTGGTAGGCTGTCACCTGTTTTTGTAAATACAGTTTTACTGAAACATAGCCAAACTATTAATTGATACGTTATTATGTATAGCTGCTTTTGTGCTAACACAGTATAGTTGAACAATTGAGACAGAGCTCATGTGGTTTGCAAACTATAAAATATTTCCTATTTGGTTTTTTACGTTGTAAGTTTGCTATAGAGCTTTGCCTTAGAACCATTTAATTTTGGGGAGATGAAACCTTATTTTTACTCCAAATTGAGTACTGATCTCTGATTAGGAATCAGGAGAATACAGATCAAAAAGCATCTTTGAGTTGTGTACTCTTTTTGGTGGGATGGTTTTCTTTTTTTTTTTTTTTTTTAAATTTTTTATTGGATTTTAGGTTTTGGGGTACATGAGCAGAGCATGCAAGACAGTTGCGTAGGAACACACATGGCAGTGTGCTTTTCTTTCCTTCTCCCCTTCATCCACATTTGGCATTTCTCCCCAGGCTATCCCTCCCCACTTCCCCCTCCCACTGGTCCTCCCCTTTTCCCCCCAATAGACCCCAGTGTTTAGTACTCCCCTGTCTGTGTCCATGTGTTCTCATTTTTCATCACCCGCCTATGAGTGAGAATATGCGGTGTTTCATTTTCTGTTCTTGTGTCAGTTTGCTGAGGATGACGTTCTCCAGATTCATCCATGTCCCTACAAACGACACAAACTCATCATTTCTGATTGCTGCATAATATTCCATGGTGTATATGTGCCACATTTTTCCAATCCAGTCTATTATCAATGGGCATTTTGGTTGATTCCAGGTCTTTGCTATTGTAAACAGTGCTGCAATGAACATTCGTGTACATGTGTCCTCATAGTAGAACGATTTATAGTCTTTTGGATATATACCCAGTAATGGGATTGCTGGGTCAAATGGAATTTCTATTTCTAAGGCCTTGAGGAATCGCCACACTGTCTTCCATAATGGTTGAACTAATTTACACTCCCTTGGTGGGATGGTTTTCTTAAGTTGATTGCAGGATAGTCTCGAACTCCTGGGCTCAATCGACCTTCCTGTCTCGGCCTCGCAAGTGCTATATCTTTGTTGTTCTAGGTTATGTATATGAAATCTAAGTTGCAGAAAAAGTTTGTACCTTTGCAGACTGCTAGATGCGTAGAGGCTTAAATACAGGACTTCCATTAAAGCATTTAAATATCTGTTTATACATCTCCCTCCCTCTACCTTACCATCTGTTCTCCAACCTTGCCGCCTTTCCTTTTGTAGGCAGAGTTCCTCTGGATTTGACTAATTCTTTATTGTTTCTGTTTCTGAAAATAAGTAAGCTACCTTTATAGGGTGAAGATAAAATCCTGGCAGTGTGGATTTGAGGTGACATATACCTGTCCTCAGCATGTCACCAAAGGCGATATTAGAATTATTTATTGTCTGGTAGCTGTGAGGATGACCCACATCTGCTGGAATGCTGGAGGAGAATGTACAAGGGTACCGGGAGTCCCTTTTCAGTTGCTGCATGATCGAGAGGTCTGGCGGCTGGAGGTGGTGAGGGATGGAAGGGTAGGGTACCAACTGATGGTCAGCTTGCCTCTACAGATGTGTGTATTACTTCTAGTAAAGCAGAGGTTCCTCTGGCTCATCCTTCATCATGCATGTTTGAAATGTCATGTGCCACATGCAGTTCTGTGCGTTAGGGATTCAGAATAACTAAATGTGCTTGTTCCCATTGGGAGGCTTAGAGACAGGCATTCTTGGAACGATATGGCAGGAATTGGGAAGATCTATGTCGGACAAGCCAGGAAAGGTTCTGTGTTGACAAAGCAATGTACGTGCTTTAATGGTCCAATGGTTTTAGATTTAAAGAAAAACCAAACTTTTTGACATCTTCCACTAAGCCTACATAGTATACCTTTTTACTATAATTTTTGCTTACAAAAACATTTCAATTTTTATAGCAGTTATTTACTTTTTAGGATATAATTAAATTTATCTTTTAGGTTGCCTGCCTGATTCGAGTTCCATCTGAAGTGGTTAAACAGAGGGCACAGGTATCTGCTTCTACAAGAACATTTCAGATTTTCTCTAACATCTTACATGAAGAGGTGAGATGTGTTTTTAAACTCTTCTTTGTTAAGATTTCATAGTAGCTGATATGAGCACTGTGGATTTCATCCTAAAGGGCCTTAGAGAAAACTTTAGAGCTAAATTTAATGTCCAGTTACAGTAATTTTTTGCTAAGATTATCTTTGCATTTTATTCATTTTTGAATATTTTCCTTTAAATGTTTTTGAAATTTCTAAGCATAACATTGAGTGTCACTACAGTATGTGTATCCTGAATTGTAATCTTCCTGCAGTTCTTCTGGTATCAGATGTGAAACAAATTGTAAATATGTAAAATGAATAAAGATACAACTTTAAAACATCTCTATAGTAGTTTTGGTCCACGGAAGAGAAATATAGTACAGGACTAATAACAGTGATCGGTGTCATAATGTTTATACCAAAATGTAGCTCCTCTTTTATGATGCATTTGAAGCTCTCAGTCGGAAATTATTCTTCCTGGCTATATGACTAGGGAGCATTTAGCTACTTTCCTTTATAGTGTTTATAGAAGCCTTTTTTTAAAACAAGAAAATCAGTCACATGGAAATTTTCAATGAGTCTCGATTTTAGAAAAGTTATTGCTAATGATCTGTTACCTAGGTGAGGAAACATTGAATATCTAATTGTACAAATGAGATGAAGCTGTTACAGCTTCCCTGTTGAACTCTGTGGATGGTTAATCCAGGTTTGTCTGGGATTATTGAACACTGCTTTGAGAGACTGTGAGTGAATTTCTGATGTTTGAAGCTATAAATATAATTCCGTTGTTATACAAAAGGATAGTTGACATTTGTATGCATTTGCTTTTGGAAATGTATTTAAAGCATCTCAAATGTTCTTTTCAAGAGAAGACATGTTACAGCAATTACATATGATATAATTAATATTTCGTAGAATTCAGCAACTAACACTAAGTAAATATGTAGTCAGTTTTATTGTTAGAGATGTTCCTATTTCAAAGGGAGCTAATCTGAGCTCCCTTAGGAGCCAGTTACGAGGTGTGTAAGTTATATAAGATATAATATGTACCTTAGGCCAGTTTAGAATCATTAACCTCTTACAGAACTATGGCAGTTGTGACTCTTAGAACTCAAACGAGAGCAGGTAGATCTGCTGCATACAGAATGTCCTTCAGAAAACTCTGCTATTCTCTCTGAACTCTTGGCTGTTTGTCTGTTTCAGGGTATCCAAGGGTTGTATCGAGGCTATAAAAGCACAGTTTTAAGAGAGGTAAGTCACTTACTTTCTGTTATTGAAGTACAAAGGAATGATGTGCTTTGTTCTATAAGTTTATACTTCTTAACAATTAGAAATATATTTGGAGAAACTTGGTTTAAAAAATCAAAAAGGGAAATTATAGTCACTCTTGAGTTTTCTCAGTTTTTTTTTTTTTTTTTTGAGACGGAGTTTTCACTTTTGTTACCCAGGCTGGAGTGCGATGGCGTGATCTCGTCTCGCTGCAACCTCCGCCTCCTGGGTTCAGCCAATTCTCCTGCCTCAGCCCCCCGAGCAGCCGGGATTACAGTCATGTGCCACCATGCCCAGCTAATTTTTTGCATTTTTAGTAGAGACGGGGTTTCACCATGTTGACCGGGATGGTCTCGATCTGTTAACCTCGTGATCCACCCACCTCAGCCTCCCAAAGTTCTGGGATTACAATCTTGAGCCACCGCGCCTGGCCGGAGTTTTCTCAGTTTTTATATTTAAAAGAATGGGTAGAATGGGTTTGCTGCAAGAGCAATTTCAATGGTCAGAATGGCCCGTCATGTAATTGACTTATTATTCTAGGGTGACTAAATGTCTATTATAGTTGAAATATTAAGAAATAACTACTGGCCAACATGGTAGCTCATGACTGTAATCCCAGCACACTGGGAGGCTTAGGCAGTGAGACCACCTGAGGTCAGGAGATTGAGACCAACCGGGCCAACATGGCGAAACCCTGTCTCTAGTAAAAATAAAAGAATTAGCTGGTCATGGTGGTGCGCTCCTGTAATTTCCAGTTACTCAGGAGGCTGAAGTAGGAAAATCGCTTGAACCCAGGAGGCGGAGGTTGCAGTGAGCCAAGATTGTGCCACTGCACTCCAACCTGGGTGACAAGAGCGAGACTCTGTCTCCTTTTTTTTTTTTGAGATGGAGTTTTGCTCTGTCACCAGGCTGAAGTGCAGTGATGCAATCTTGGCTCACTGCAACCTCCGTCTCCTGGGTTCAAGCTATTCTTCCACCTCAGCCTCCCAATAGCTGGGACCACAGATGCGTGCCATCATGCCCAGCTAATTTTTGTATTTTTTAGTAGAGACGCAGTTTCACCATGTTGGCCAGGATGGTCTCGATCTCTTGACCTCATGATCCCCCCACCTTGGCCTCTCAAAGTGCTGGGATTACGGGTGTGAGCCACGGTGCCTGGCCTAGACTCTGTCTCAAAAAAAAAAAAAAGAAAAGAAAAGAAGTAACTACTAAGGATAAGACATCAAGTTAAATAGTGAATTATGAGGAACTAATGAACACTTGGTGATGAAAGATGCACTCTAAGACAGGGACCCCAACCCTGGGGTCGTGGACTAGTTCTGGTCCGTGGCCTGTTAGGAACTGGGCCACACAGCAGGAGGTGAGCGGCAGGTAAGTAAGCATTACTGCCTGAGCTCCACCTCCTTTCAGGTCAGCAGCAGCATTAGATTCTTACAGGAACACAAACCCTATTGTGAACTACTCATGTGAGGGATCTCAGTTGTGTGCTCCTCATGACAATCTAATGCATGGTGATCTGAGGTGGAACATCTGAGTTGCAACAGTTTTATCCCAAAATCATCCACCCCACCACCGGTCCATGGAAAAATTCTCTTCCACAAAACCTGTCCCTGGTGCCAAAAAGGTTAGGGACCACTGGTCTAAGAGATGGGTGTCTCAAACGTCTGTATCAGGCAGTTAGCCCTTGGCTTCTTGATAACAAAATACGGTGAGCTGGGAAGTTCAGTCTGGACTGGAGTCTTGGCACTGCAGGTGATTCACAGTGCAGTGTGCCCCAGGGCAAGCCACTTTACCTCTCTTTGCCTTCTAACTCAAGATTTCTGTGATTTAGCACATGGGAAATTTTCTTTTGTTATTTTTGGTTGAAAGAGCAAAAGTTTACTGTCAATAAGTAGTTTCAGTATGTTACTGCAAGAATCATAATATAGGCCAGGCATGATGGCTCAAACCTGTAATTCCAGCATTTTAGGAGGTAGAGGTGGGTGGATTGTTTGAGTCCAGGAGTTTAAGACCAGCCTGGGCAACATGGTGAGACCCTGACTCTATAAAAAATACGAAAACTAGTTGGGCGTGGTAGTGCCTGTAATCCCAGCTACTTGGGAGGCAAAGGTGGGAGGATTGCTTGAGCCTGGGAGGTCCAGACTGCAGTGAGCCGTGATTGTGCCACTGCATTCCAGCCTGTGTGGCAGTGAGACCCTATCTCAAAAAAGAAAAAAAAAGCATGTTGTAATCTTTGCTTCATATAGAAGCAACTGTCTTGAAGTTCAGAAGTTTGTTTTCAGATAGGTGAGATATAAGAGAAGTCTGGTTTGGGACACCATTTCCTATTAAAACATAAGAGAACCTGCATACATGTGCCCTGCATCTGCGTTTTCTATTTGGAGGTCCTGGGACACTGAAACATAATCATTAAATATTGCCGTAATTGACCAAATACTGAAATTCATTGAAATCCTTCATTTTATTTTCAGGTAGTTTTATTTATTTATTTATTTATTTTTTTACTGGAGATTACAATCTTCTTTAGGCCCTAACAGCGCTGTTATATGTGACTTAAAGCTTTGGTTTTTCACAGGTTAACAACCTAGTTGGTGTAGATGTTTGAAGAACTTCTTTTTAAGGCAAACTTAATGTTTCAAAATTAGTTGTTTGTGTGGAGATAACTTCTGCCTTTCAGAAATATCACCCATACTGTATATTCACTCTGTACTTAGCTTCTGACTCACTAAACGTGTGTTGCTTAGATTTCACCTGGGTGAGGAAGAAAGTGAGGCAATAAGCCTTTTTTGTTTTTCTGAGAGATGCTGAAGAAATGAATATATTTACATGGCGGAGAATACTGGTTTTGCATACAAACAGACCACATGGTTGCAACTGCATTCTGTTCTTTAGAAAATTTGTTTTGACATATGTCTTGCTGGTAATTAATTCCTAGGCTGCAATCCTTGAAAGTATTGTGACCTTACTGAGATGACTTTGTTTACTCAAAATGGCAGCGTTTTGTTGGAAATTTAATTGAGGTCTTCTGCATTATGTGTATTTATAAAAGATCCTTCAGACTTGATTTTAGTTGAGGTATTGCTTTTGTACAGATTCTCTGATAGAACAAGAGAAGAATTATTACTGAATGAAACACAGCTTCTTCTAAAAATGAGAAAAATAAGTGATACTTCGGCTTTAAGCAAAATTTTTTGCATTATAGTTTAGATTCTTGTTTTATTCTGGCACCAATATAAAATCTTTTTGCCAAGAGCTTGTTTGTTGTTTCAGTAGGAAAATAAAACTTAGTGAGAATCACCTGGAAATGTATACGTTTATTCTGTATGCAATTTTTTCTTTAGTTTTATCTCCCTAGCAGTTGCCGATTAGAATGAGATTGAAGTTTGAGTCCATGCATTATAAGATAGATGCTGTGTGTTCTTTAGATTGTGTGAATGTTGTCGCACTTTTTTTTTTAACTGCATTTGATGTTCGTGGAGATTGCGTGCTTATCCCTGATATTCTCTGAAAGTATTTTAGTTACTGTGAATTTTAGACGGAGCCCAAGCAAGGGGAGCAGATTACACTATTTACCTCACCCTTTCAGTGTTCATTTTTCTCATGATCTTTGCCAAACTAGATGTGGTCAAGCATGCTGGTGCAGTGATACTATTGCAGGAAGATGAACGTGGGGAGCAGAATCATAGCTGCTTTCATAACGAGGACGATTTCAGATGCCATTGGCCTGAAAATATTATGGAGAGCAGCCTCAGACTCTTGGATGTGAATTAGAAGGTCTTTTATAGAGGAAGAAAACAGTGAAGCAAATTGTTTCAAAAGAAGTAGGGATCAGTTAAACTTAGCAGTTGTCTTTTGACCACAAACTTCACTCAGCAGTCCTTTTTGGAGTGCCTACTGTGTTTTGGGGCACTACTGGGAACACTCCTGCCCTGAAGGATTCACTTTCTGGCGGGGAAACAAATAGGGAAGTAGACACTTTCAGTGCAGTGTCATAAGCACTGTAATGATAAGTATATACGAGATGTAGCTGGGGTTGCAGAAGAAGTACTGCTTGAGTGATGCTCAGTTAGCATAAAATGACTCTTAATTGTTGAAGGAGAGGCAGATAGAACAGCAAGAGCAAAGGCACAAGGGTGTGAAAGTACATGTGTGTAACTTGCTTATTGAAGCAGAATTGGGGTTTTCATGACCACAGAAGAGAATGCAAACCAATGAGGGCCTTCAAGAGAGCATGGAGTGGGGTATTTGTGTGGAGAAGAAGTTGAACCTCTTGCCTCAGCTGTTTGTTTGCCAGGGACTGGAGTGGAGTATATGGGAAAAGCCTTTGAAAGAGTCTGACATGTTCCCTGGAGTCTGGAGGATAAATTGCTGGTGTCTGACTCCTGTCTACAGAAACCCAAAGGTGAGAAGCTGGTTGGAGCTATCCCAGTGGCAAAATGTAGTCCTTTTAATAACGAATAACTCCTGGCTTCTTTTTGATGGTTGCCACTAAAGAGATTTGAGATAGGATAAGAGTTGCCCCCCAACCCTAGTTTTGCTACATGTGGTCAAGCATGCCAAACAAGTCATTCAGTCTGTTCAGTAAGTTCATTGAAGTCCCCAGTCCTTAGGTGTGAAAATCATCACTCTTACTAGTTTATTTGGAAGTAGATATAGCAGCTTTCCAGACTTGTTTGCACTTAATATCCACATTAGGCAGTGAGGATTCCCTCTGCATCCAGTGGCTGGAAACGGGAACCTTCAGGGATCAAACCTCAAGGACCATCCTCTGAAGTCCTCTTTCCAGTTCTGCTGTCTGCCTACTGAGTGCCTTTCCCCCAAACACTCACGTTGTAGAAGTCTCCTTAGTGTTTTTTCAGAGACACTCTATCCTAGATCTTCTGTATTTTTTGTTGCTACTTTTTAACCTAATTTATTTTGGAGATCATTTATATCACTTCCTAAAGAGCACTGTCATTTATGATTACATAGTAGGCCGTTGT